CTCTGTCTGTCTGTCTGTCTGTCTGTCTGTCTGCTACGCTTTCACGCCTAAACCACTGAACTGATTTTAATGAAATTCGGTACAGAGATAGAGTTGACCTTGAGAAAGAACATAGGATAGTTTTTATCCCAGACTTTTGAAAGGTTCTCTTGGAAACGCGATATAACCGAACTCCACGCGGCGAAGCTGCGGGCGGAAAGCTAGTATATATATACATTTCTACTAAAATGTTTTCCTAAACACTTTAAAGATTAAGATAAAAATCTCTTACGACTCTGATATACTTAGGTAAGTGCATTAAAATGAACGAAATATTAAAAATCGTGATATATTAGTTCAATAGAGGTAATGTGTTAGTATATTCTCGTAATACAAAAGTTTCTAGACTCTCCTCGACATTAAAGCGAGTTAGGAGCGAAGTACTGAAATAAGTAAGGGTCTATGAAGATATAACGTAGATTAATTTGTTATAATGAAGTACTCAATCGCCCATACGAAGATATAGGCTATCTTGGAAACTGCCTTATACTCGTATATAACGTTATATGGTAGACTTGATGGTCTAAGATATTAGTTACAAAGAGACAGTTATAGTGTAAGGTTGAAAATTAATAGGCTTTGTATATACTGGGACTAAAATAATAATCTACACAAGCAAACGTATCTATAATAATAAGTTTTATTATAATAACTAGCTTTTGCCGCGACTCCGTCCGCGTGGAGTAGTGACTTCCGGCAGATTTTTGGTTCTTCCCACACAGTTCCCGTTCTTGCGGGGTTTTCGGAATGGTCGAGTTCCCGTAGAATTTTCAGGATAAAACCTATGTTTTTTTTATTCACAACGAAGTACTCTTAACCAGCAACATATTTATTTGTTTATTTGAATAAAGATTAATATTATTATGTTGATACAACTTAAACAAATTATTTCGACCAAATTAGGTACCATAAAAACGGTTTTTGTGAGTTAATCTTAAAAGATAGACATATACTGTCGCGGACTGTTTTTTAGATAATTAAAAGAGCTATTATTCTTTACTACATATTTTTCGTGTATCTTGAACCGTTATCACGGCGCACGCAACGGAAGGATTCAAAAATGAAATAATTTCTCCCGTTTTTTACACATTTACCACTATATCTTTGCTCCTATTGGTCGTAGCGTGATGTTATATAGCCTACAGCTTTCCTCGATAACTGGACTATCCAACACAAAAAGAATTATTCAATTCGAACCAGTAGTTTCGGAGATTAGCGCTTTCAAACAAACAAACAAACAAACAAACAAACAAACAAACAAACAAACTCTTCAGCTTTATAATATTAGTATAGATTAATTTGAATTTTATAATTATTAAGTCTTTATGTGGAAATTTAACGAGTAATGATAAAAAATGGAAACAAAGTTCTGAGACGCAGCAATAAACATATACTTACTGTTTAAGTTCTTGTTTATTCGTAATTATTACTATTATTTGATACATATCAAATTTTTATGTATTTCCGTATTTGATCACAGTTATATTTAATTACTCACCGTCTTTTAAACCACAAAAATATATATAATTACAATAATTTCATTACTATGATGTTATAACTAAAGTGGCTCGGGACTTTGAAAAGTTTTTTTATGTCAGTCTTTAGTTGAACACAATGTAGTTTCAAAAATGAAACTCCAAATTTAAGTATTATGGTTTACTAAGATTTGTTACAATTGATCCTTTTGCGATAAAGCAAGAAGAGCCAATGGTAATTTTTAGTACAGGTAATTGAAAAACAAAAGAAATGACATTGTACTGTGTCGTGCGTAAATGCGGTAAAATAAGGCGAGGCTAAGTTATGAACAATATCTATTTGATAGACAAAGAAATTATTTGAAATGAATAAAACTTATCACTACATAAAAATTATCATACACTATTTATTAATTAATATATTTTATTAACTTTTATGCAGTACGTATATTGTTTCAACAGGTAATAAGGTTCTGACATGTTCATTGAATCTATGTACCTAATACAAATCCACTCGTGAATACTAAGAACTATGATCTCATGTTCTTTATACAACCCTCTTCAAACAGTTCTCATATATGTATAATGTGTACAGATACATGTTGTCTTGCGGCAATCCCAAGAAACATTATTATAAGGACGTCTTATTTTAATGTTTTTTATAGAAATATAAAATATAATTTTTCCTATAACTTTTTATTATAATGTTTAAATAGTTTATAATCAAATTAGTCCAAGTAATAAATTTTGTTTCTTTGGACTCACAATCATTAAGTATTACATATATGTATATAATAAAATTAATTTTCTTTTTATGCTAATTAATATTATAGTGCAGTCGTTAAGCACGATGAAAATGTGATTATTTTATCTTTATGTGATTTTTCTGACCCGTTCTGTCTCCATTCATCGAATTATCAGTCATCATTTGTTTTAAAAGCTTTGAAGGTTTGTGTTTACCTATGAGGACCTATTTATTTTGAAACATATTATAATTATTAATAAATATTACTCATATTATAAAAGTTCCTTCTGCTTTAAAGCCCTTCTATAAATCAAAACAATATTTCGGTTAGTTTCAGATCGAAACTTAAATATTCAAAAACTGTGAATGAATCAGTTTCAATCAAAATACCTGCTTTGTTTGTGATCGGCATTTGAAGTGCGTTAATTTGACAAATATCAGTTGATAGTTCGGTACAGAATGTGGACATTGATTCTGGTGTAGATAAATTTGTGTTGGATTGGTTTAATTGAGTGCGACTGTTGCTTTGAGGGAGGCATGTGACTGCGAAATGTACGGTCATGATTCACATATCAATGACGATTTAAGCAAACAAAATCACTATTATGATAAAAACTGTACAGATATCCTTTAAATAAAACTACTAGTTTCGAGATTGTACTACGTATATTTTATTATTGTTTAACCTAAGTACTCCGGACGTTTCGGTTACTTTTTAGGAACCGTGATTACGAGCATTTTATTAATTGAATTTTCCCTCTCGTTGAATTAATCCTTACGACTGTGACAATTATATCACACATCAATTTTGAAAAAATAGATTAATGTGGCTTAGACTTAATGCGTAAAAGATGAATGAAAATAAAAGCGAGTATATAAATTTTATTTCTTGATAAGAAACTCATATTTATTATTCGATTTCACATTTTATTTTAACGAACTATCCATAATAAACAAGTTTAATTTCATACAACTAAGGTTATTAATATTAAAACAAATCTTAAATCATTCACTCTGAAATTACAATATTATAAATTATAATCAATTTAAAACACTCAATGCTATCCATAATCTTTGGATTCTAGTTTACTTTGAAATATTTTCTTTGTAATCCATACTTTTATATTTCAATATCGTACAAATTCTTTATATCTGTGTAATATAATTATCAATAAAAAAGTTCCTGACTATTACTCGGACTACAAAGAGAGATAGAGAGATCTCTCTCTGTCCCTCTCTCTTTCTTCATTCTAGATGTTAGAGTAAGGAAGGAATTAATTGGATCTGACCAAACTATTGCTCGAAGATGTCTTGACCACGTTGCTATTAAAACTGATCCTGGTAACATATTTTGGAGTTATTCGACATTGATCTGAAATAATCTGAGATTCGCTTGAATTAAGCTAAAATTTAAATATAATTTAATAAACGTGTTGATGGGAAATCGGGTCACCAGAAAAAAATATGTAAAAACGTAAATAACTCTTATGAAATTAGAGCAATTTAATTTATATTAGCTAAGGGAATTAAAGGACCCTCAACTTATGAGTAATAAGACCCTTAATTATATTTATGAACCTCTAACATTTTGTGAACAGATACACGAATATCGCTTCTAATTAAACTTTAAATTAGAATTTCTGCACAGATTTTATAAAAAAATCTATCCCAATTTTTGACACAAAAAAATATGGTTTTCAAAATACCGTGTTGTCATTAAAAGATCTTTCAAAAATAAAAAAATGATGTATAATAATTATTTTAAGGTTTTTCAGAACTAAAACCATATATTCCTTTCCATGAGCTAGTAACAAATATTAAAGGTTTTTCGGATCTCCTTCGTGCTTCAATGAATTAGTGTGAACTGAAATTGTTGACAATAACGATTTAAGATTTGTGTTTATTAGGTGTGTTGTGCTCTTCTATAAAAAAGTTAACTATGATATATTTAATAATTCAGTTTAAGGATGAGGTTATCATCTATAAAATAAATAATTGTATTTCTTGGAAAAATGCTATTATTTTTTTAATTTTATTTTATTTCTTTACTCAACTTGTCTCTCAAATCACTGTAATGTATATTTATAGATTGTCAATAGTTGTAGTTCAATTTAAATACCTTAAAATATTTCAAAGTATCTAATCATTCAATTTTCGTTTCCTCGGTTAGTTTTAATGTCTTGTCTTGTGTATGTTACTACTGAAATAACTAATATTAAACTATTTTATTAACGTATCGCCGTATCTCATTTTTATTCTACGATTCTATGATCACGGTAAGTCTCTCAAATTTTATTTTGGATATTTCTCTCATAAGAAAGAAGCGATCCTCTTTCTCTTCCCTAATTAAGGGTTGTAAAGCTAGGCCATCTCGTCGAGTCATGAAAAAAAGTTCCAATAAAATTTATTTCAAAGAGGTACTGAATTGGCTTTCATAGACACAGTGTGTATTAACGTCTGGAGCTACTTACTTTATGTTGTGATGATAGACAGGCACTATATACAAATAATAATAAAGAAATCATCTGGTAGTAATAAATTATTGCAAAAATAAAATATTTCGATAAGAAGGTAAATAAAATATAAGTTATATAAAACTGGTAATGGAAAACGTTTTTATGGATCGTTGTAATGAAATAAGAAAATAAGATTTGAAACAGAAAAAGTACGATATGTTATTGAGTATTTATGCCATAAGTGTAATTTTTATTTACCATAATGTGAGGGCAGATGAGGATATAATGAAAAAGATAGCGGAACTCGAATTAGAGAAAAAAGATCTTTATACACAAATAAACTCGGCGATAGAAGACAGCATTGCTACATTGAAAAAATATAATGACACGGAATCATTGACCGGCCTTAAATATATTGAAGAACTTAAGAACCATTTAAAAGAATTAAACTATACTGAAAACAAAAACAATGACACCCTTACTAAGGACCAAGAATCAGATTTAAAGAACAGAAGAAAATTTAATTTACAAGAACTCCTCGGCTCTTTGAAGAAGAAAAAAGTTAAAGAGAACCCTTTTGATTTTGAACAAGCGCTTACACCGAAAAAAGTGTCTGAGGCGGAATTAAAGAAAATATTACAAAACCGAATTAAGATGCAAAAGAAACTAGACGAATGGATTAAACAGAGACAAAAAGAAAAAGATCGCTTGGCTGAATACAGGCTGCAGAAGAAAAGGTTATTAATGTCCGGGATATATGAGAAGTGTCCGAGGTTCGGATACAGCGGGAACAAGAAGACATCCAACAAAAAACCTGACGATACTAAGAAAAGAAAGAAATGCAAAATAAAGATAACTTCTTCGGGTGGAGAACAGGACTTGAACGAATGTTTGAAGAATATGCAAAAGGCAGAAGAAATTAAAAGTGCGAAAACAAAAATATCAAACAAAAGAAAATATCCGTGTTGTAGGAAATGTTGTAAGAAATCGTACATGGGCTGTCTTTAAATACTTATAACAATGATTCATTAATTATTATTTTCTCTTCAATATAAATATTTGATTGTGAACATCATGAAGTAAATTTTAAACTTTACTTGTTGGTTCTATGTAGTTTACTGTAGCCACCAAACTCGTCTTGATTCATCAAATTATTACATCTTATATGAAACGTTACCTTTAAATATAATGATAGTTTTAAGTTACTCCAAAAATTTAAAAAAAAACGTTGAAATGTATTTTAAATTAATAAAATTGAAAATTTATTATTATATATCTAGTTTTTGTGATTTAGATACAACAAACACTCGTTCTTATATATACATATATGTATATATATATATATATATATATATATATATATATATATATATATATATATATATATATATACATATATATATTATATATATACATATATAATTCATTCTTAGAACGTACTTACGTAATTGTCTCTTAATATACACGTTTTTCATTACTGTGTTTTAGATCTAATATTTATTGCTTAAAAAAGAAGGAAAAATAACAAACAAATTTATTTAATATTATTACGAGTATAGTCAAGCACACATTATTGTATTAACTTCAGTGATTTTGAGACTTAAGTCGAAATTAAACATTTCTATGGTTACTATATTTGTTTTTCTGTAATAATAATAGATATTCTATTTTAATGAACACAATAAATGCTATGTGAAATATTCACTGAAATAAAATAATATAAGGAAGATATTATCTTAGTACCTTACTACTTACTTTCAGTAGAATATGTAAATCCTAAAGAATCTTTAAAATATGTCCACAGTCCCTGTCATTTCAACAGTGATATCAATTTAGTCTTAATATGTCAACCTCTGTATAAATATTTACTTCAAGTAGCTCCACACTTCAAGTAGCGATAATAAGTTTATCATCAGCCTATCAGAGCCCACTGCTGAGGAAAGGTCTCGTCTCACCTGGAGAAGGTTTTAGCATTAATTACTACGCTTGCTCAAGACGGGTTGGCGATTTCAAACTTACAATTAGAAATTATAAGTCCAGGTTTCCTCATGTTTCTTTTCACGTTCACGTTGTTTTCCTTCACCGTTTGTCTGTTGTGTCTAAATATTCTTAGAAAGTACATATGATTCGGAAAAATCATATTGGTACTTGCCAGGTTTCGAACCCGCGCCCTCATGTACGGGAGGCGGGCCTTGTAACCACTAGGCCACAAAGACTTAATAATAAGTTAGTTTGCAGTTAGTAATAAGTTATTAATTAATAATTATAACCATTAAATAAGAGTTCAATATAGAGTTGTTTCATACATTAATGTATAGAAATTGTTTTGTACACAACTGTATCACCACTGTCACATTTATTAAAGGTACCGAACAAGAAGACACTCATGATATTTATATGTCAAATGTCAGAGCAAACCATTAGTCTTACTTGATGTTAAAGGAAATTTTATATATTTATAGGCAGGCTGAAATAATCATCATATGTAAAAGGAAAGAAGTTGCTCTATTATTTATATCAGTATATGTATGTAAAAAATATTAAAATACATCTTGAAATCAGTTGAGAAATATTTGAAAACTTTAATTAATACTCAAGTAAGTGACATTGATTGTATTATTTACTTTTTACTTGAATCTGAAAAAAGATTGATCTATGTATATTATAATATATTAAAACAATAACATAGAAAATTTAAACAAGCGTTTATAATAACAGTATGAAGGACACATAACGTCAACCTATTACCTTGCATATTAAATGTGATGTATTTGTTTTAATTAAAACACAAACTACATTAACATCTCGTCTGTCCGTGATCACGGTTGCTGTAAAGTAACCGAAACGTCGGGAGTATGTAGTTTATAGTCAAAATTAAAAAATCACGTAGTATCCGAAAATATTAGTTTCATTTACATGTCCCTTATTTTATTTCATTTATTTGAAACATCATCGGCATATTCACAATAACACATATTTAATAACAGTACACGGACCAGTGCAGTGTGATACACCACTACAAACATTTACAGCACTGTTAAATTAAAAACAAAGTTATACACTCTTAAGTAATATTAAAAACTTATATAATATTAAAAACTTAAGCTAGAACAAACATAAACTCATAAGGTTTAAGGCCATAAATACAGTACAGGCAATAAAAACAAAATAAACAACCTTATGTTGGTATTGAGTAAAAGAGAGGAGATAAAACAAGAATAAATTAAATATTATAGTAAGTACTAGGAATACTGTAGTAGATTCATTTAAAATCTAAGAGAAATTAGCATATATCTTAGCCATATGTACGATATTCAAATCGAATACAAAGAACCTAGACTTATATAGTCAGATATATTTAGTTTCCATGCCTTAGAATGTTATTTGATTAAATATTTAACACAAGTTGAACACGTTCGGGGCGTCACTGAGAGTAATCATGTAGTTTCATCACATTATCACTAATGTACGGTTGAGTTGGAATATTGACTTTGAAACTTATTAGAGAGGACATTACTTATATCGTTTGAACTATTAAAAGAGATTAAATAACCTACATACACTTAGAATATATAAAAAAATACACTTTATATTTGTAATATCTAACGCGCGTTAGATAGAGTCCCTTACCTACAACTGGGTCACAAGTCCTAGTCACTGTTGAAGCTCCTCTCACTACAACGATGGACCCGGCAACACACGGTGAATCCATTGAAAGCTAAGAGTTTTTCGTCTGTACGAAATAATTGTTTAAGATAATATTTTTTAACTGTCAGTTCTAAACTTTAAAAGTCTACATTTCACGCTCAATGAAAAATCTCTTTATTTTAATATCATTCTGTATAACTTCAACATCATTATGTTGATGTGTTCGGTTATTACTTGACATTCATTTATTATTTTCGCGAAACATTCACGTGATTGGAAAAAACGACAATGTTCTTTAAATTTTAAGAAGAAATATCTGTTTAACAACTTCTATTGTAGAATTTGGATGTTATAAACTAATGAATGGTATCCTTAGTGCAAGGTAAAGATGTAACCTTACCTGTTCAGCATTTCTTTTCTATTTCAATAACCTATTTGAGGAACCAGCTTGAACTAAGCTGGTATAAGCCTAATGTATATTAATTAATACCCATAACATATTGTTATTATTGAAGCCTCTAAGTTTATATTCAGTCAATTCAATGTTTGAAACAAGAAATATTAAGTAGAACATCTTGAAACTCATTAGGATCAGTTCACTCCGACAATCTGAGCAGTTCTTTTGAAAAACCTCGAGTCATTTAGACAGAGAGCATTCACACGATATCGTTTGACAATATTGTCTTCTTCTAATATATAACATTTCCTTATCAAAATATTATACCGAACTCCTCCGAAATGGCTTTACCGATTTTCAACAAATTTTATATACGTATTCTGTAGGTCTGAGAATTGAATACTATCTATTTTTCATGCCCTTAAGTGATAAGGGTTGTTCACCCCTAAAATAATTGTTTAATTTTTTAATGTGACGTTAAAAAATACATAGGTACAACCCAAAATTTTTACTTTTTTATCAACCCCTACTTTTTTACGTTTGCTGGGTCAGCTAGTTAACTACATAATTATATAAGATTCACTTATTATGTATACTAATATTAAACTACTTTTATAACTACTACTACTACTACTTTTATTCTCTAGTATATTCTTAGTAATGTGATTGTTTTTTAATGTATTTTATTGTAGTAACGATGTATTGTAAACGTGATTCCCAGTTTTTGTTGGAGCGTCTTTGTTATAAACAGCGAAAGGGCGGAGGTCTGTCGTTGAAGGTTTGATTTCGTTGCTTTCGTATAGCCTTTATTTTTATTTCAAACTAATTTTCGCCCGCGACTTCGCCTGCGTCAGTTTCAGAATTAGAAATGTTTAGCTGACCAGGTGAACTCTATTTGTCTTTAAAGACAGTAGATAAGAAGATTTTGGATTTGATCAACTTATTTTCCTTTTTTTTGCAATCAGATGAAAAGAATCCAATATCCTTTCCATTGTTCTAATCTATCTCTCCACCAATCTTCATCCAAACCCGTACAGCCATTCTTGAGTTATAAATAGTGTAACTAACACGACTTTCTTTTACATATAAAGATATATATTTTTACTTTATCACAACATTCAATAATATTGTTTATATATAACACCGCCAACGTGCTTTAAACCTTAAAATCATATTGTAATTTTTGTTTCACGTCTTCTTGAATCAGTATTTGTGCTAGATATAGCTCACAGTTATGACGTCATTGATGACGTCATACCTTTTAAGCTTTATTCGATGTTTCAATGTCGTTTATCATCTCTTGTAAGTAACTATAGACATCTAATACAACTAGACAAGCGACAATCACAATTTGTAAACTCCTATAGTATATTAGACATTTTAACGCGGTTCATTTTTTTTTACGATATCCAAATATTATAAATTATATGAAACTATTTTCGAGTATTGATTATTATGAAGCAAGAATCGTTACTTTGATATTATCAAAAATTTCGTCGTCTCTCATTATTTTAATAAATTCCATATCTTGACTTTGACCTGCAAGATATATGTATTATGTTCAGTTCTACCTTCTGATAAAGTATTTTTTGCTGTACATATACTTCATGTTCTACACAATATATATAAAGTATTTATATAACTAGGCTGTGTTCCAAAAGAAATTATTAATTTTACTTTTTATAGCAATGACTGTATAATATACGATTTTGATAAAACTATTCAAATTGACAAATATGTATATCATACAATTTGTTTTTTCGTCTTTATTTTTTATGTTTTTTTATCAAACAATGTTTTAAAGAGATAGTCAAAAAATGGCGTGAATTTTTTTACCATCACCATCCATTTAATGTTAAGTTCATCTTTAGTCACATTTCTCAAACATAACATTAAAATTATATCAAAGTTTGTTATCCTGCTTATATAAATAAGTCAGTATAGAAAATACGTCACTTCATTT